TAGAATACCCGGCTACCTCATTTACATGTGTCGGGAGGCTTCGATGAGCGAGGCGTGACACAATGGACGCTATTCTTACTCACTGATGTATAAATGAGTCGCCGGGTATTCTGAAGGTTAGCCAAATTACAGTTTTCTTCGGCTTTGCGCTATTTTGATTGCTGTCCGTGTTAAGACGGGCTTCAATTTACTTTACTCGACTGAACGTGGAGCAGACAAAAAACTGTCATGTGATTGTGAAATCCACTTCTGATCCACCCAAAGGCATGCGTAATGAGACCCTTCACCCCTTCATCGAAACGGTTCAAAAACCGCAGTTGAGGGATTCTCCAACGAAGAGCAGTCAGTCATGCACGAAAGGAAATTCTTTTTTTGACTTTGTTTGTACCTTGTCTCAAAGGGGATGATCCTGGAGGTCCCTGGAGGTGGATTTAAGAAAGTCCACAGGGCTGGATTTTAAGACTGAATACTTTTAGGTAAAATGACCTTGGTAATGTAATGTTTTTCATTTACTTCACAGTTATGCCAACAAGTGAACCAGCTATCAAGCCTACAACAGCTGCAGCTGCCGAGAGTTATACGGGCAAGTTCACTACTAGAGTTTTGCGTATGTTTTATCCCACTGATTTGTATGTCCGCAGACGTCAATATCAACTCTATGTCCACGTTTTCTGCGTATCAGTCCTTCAGTGCATTCACAAGGACTTCGCCCACTACCTGACATGAAGCTGGCCATAAACCTACATCCCAGCATCCAGCCATTGCCATTATCAGTAAAAAAAGGTCTTTAGAGGGAATCCCTTTTTAAACTTAAAATTAATCTCACATTGGGTACTGTATTGAAAGCTTACTCTCCCAACCCTGGTTGATTAGGACTTACAGCTAAAAGTACGTTTCCATTTTATATTTGTGTTTGTACCTATAAGGTTGAATTATCTACATATCCTTTCGTATGCTTTTTAGTTGCCTGCAGCATTTCTAGATAGATTTCTCTTTAAAGAAGAGAAAGGGAGCCTACCAAATAAAGTCGCTGAGGACAACCAGATTAAATAGGAATTCTTCAAAATGTTGAGAATGGCTAATTTTTTTCTTTATGTAACGATATAGCTGTTATATATTAGTAACCTCAGCAGTTTTGTTTGAAGGTGTGGACCCAAATCTTATAATCAGAACATCCAATTGTCTTCGGAATACTTAATTACCTGGCAAAAAAAATTATCCACAAATTTTTAAGCACATGTACGCATGGTAAAGAAAAAGCAAGGATTTGAAATAGGTTAAAAAGGATAGGTCATGGGGCTCATTTAGGAATAAAGGGCCTTTCTTCAATAAATCTTTCACTAAATATACTTACTGTGAATCTGATATGTGCAAAAAAATGGCACAATGCCATTACACTAGGGAACCACATACCTCAAAGCTGCACAATACCTCATTGTTAATACCATGGTTGTCCATGGTTCTACCACAGATGTTAATGGACAACAGCCATGGTCAACCATGGTTTAGCAGTGGCCAATTGATGGCTTGACCACGGTCAACCATCAATGTTAAAATTAATTGAGACAATTTATGACCATGGTCAACCATAGTCACAAATGGTGGCCAATATGGCTTGCTGGTATATGTTTTAAATACCATGTATTCCATGTATTACATGATGAGCAGTTGTTATTTATTTTCAATTGGTGATACCAGTCAAGATAAATTACCTATTATAAATCAATTTTACTTTTCTCCAACTCATTAGCCTTTATGTTAATGTAGTGAGATGCTTTTGAAGGTGAATGTTTAGGTCTAACTATGGTTGACAGCTGTGAACCTTGGTCAGTAAAGCCAAATATGATCATGGTCAGATACAATGGTCACCATTATTGTCCACCATTGTAAGATGGTCAACCTGATGCCTGAGATGCATTCAATTAATTTATTTATGTAACTTAAAGCTGCATGGCCCAAATCAGTTGTATCATAGTTTTTATTTTGGGAAAAGGAAGAGAGGAGGCCCATTAGAGAGAAAGGTTTATCAGAAATCTGGGGTTATAAATACAGGGAATGTTTATTGGATGAAAGAGGGACTTTTTTCAAATTATGATAAGTTTGTAAGAGTTTGAAAAAATTAATAATCTTAATGACTTCTTATTCTATTATCCTTTTTTTTCAACAGTTTTCGTTGGTGGAACACACTCCATATTAGTTAACATAGCTAGTAATAATCAACACGCTGACTTCTACTACCTAAGTAGCTCACATTCTAAGCGCATCATCAAGCTTCCAAAAGGAGATCATGGCAATGGAACTTGCTATCATAATGTCATTCAATGGCGAAAGTGCCAAAAACATTATGGTCTGAGATATTTGGGGGAAAAAGCTATAATCATCCAA